TGTGCTATTGGGTTCTTCGCTAGATTAATAGCTGACATGCTGTCTATCTTCATGGTAATTGCTCCATGATTTTTCCCTGTTATCTCTTCGACCAAGTTCACCATCCAAGTTGCTTGACATGCACAAAGAGAAGCAGCTATGTATTCTGCTTCGCATGATGATAATGCCACTACTGGCTCCTTTCTTGAATTCCAAGCAACTGGTGCACCACCTAGCATAAACACATATCCTGCTGTTGACTTTCGATCTTCAGCATTACTACACCAACTCGAATCAGTGTATTCCACTAACTTGCATTCTTTTCTTTTATCAACTGCAGGAAACAAAATGCCATAATCGAAAGTTCCTTTGAGATACCTTAGTATCCTCTTCACTGCTGCTAGATGTGATACATTTGGCTTCTGCATGAATCTACTTACCATACCTACACTATATGCTAAGTCAGGCTTTGTATGACAAAGGTATCTCAATGATCCAATAAGTCTTCTGTATTGGGTTGGATCAACATCATCTTCATCTGCATCTTTCGACAGTTGCAGTCTTTGTTCTGCAGGTGTCGAAGTTTAGTTGTATTCTTCCATCTCAAACCTCTTGAGAATTTCTTCTGCATATCTTCTTTGATGTATCATCAAACCTCTACTGCTCTTGTAGAATTTGATACCAAGGAAATATGAAATCTCACCCAAATCAGACATTTCAAATTCCTTGCTGAGATCACTTTTGAAGTCTTCGATCTCACTTTTACAGCTACCTGTTATCAATAAATCATCTACATAGAGACATAGTATAAGCAATTTACTCTTGCTTCTTCTTACATATACTCCATGTTCAGTTGTGCACTTCACAAATTCCTTCTCCCTTAGAAAACTATCAATTTTCTTATTCCAAGCCCTTGGAGCTTGTTTCAATCCATACAGGGTTTTATGTAGCATATACACCTTTCTTTCTTCGTCATGTTTCACAAACCCAACTGGTTGTTTAACATAGACTTCTTCATCTAAGGGTCCATTTAGGAATGCACACTTCACGTCCATCTGGCATATGTGCCAACTGTTTATTTCTGCTAGACCAACAACCAACCTGATTGTTTCGATCCTAGCAATAGGTGCAAAAACTTCATCGAAGTCTATTCCGTCTTTCTGTAGAAATCCTTTCGCCACAAGTCTTGCTTTGTGTCGAGTTACTTCACCTTTCGAATTCGTTTTCACTTTGTATACCCACTTGATATCAATTGCCTTCTTGCCTTGAGGCAATTCGATAAGTGACCAAGTGTTGTTGTCTTCGATAGACTTTACTTCTTTGTTCATTACTTTCACCCACTTCGAATCCTTTAATGCTTCAGCTGCATTAACGGGTTCGACATCTGCATAGAAAACATAATTTACCAGCTCACCTTCATTATTTATTACATCATCTGATGTAATCACACAATCTTGCAATCTTGCAGGCATGCGTCTTTTTCTTTGAGGCCTGCTTGTACTTGGTATATCTGTTGGTTCCTCTTGTCGGACTTCTCTTTTGACTTGAGTTTCTGGCTCTTCAAGAAGGATTCCCACTGAATCTTTCTTGATATTTTCAGTCTAATCCCATTCTTTAAACTCATCTATGATCACGTCCCTGCTGATCACAATCTGCTTTTTCACTGGATCGAACAACTTGTAGCCTCATGTCGAATGATATCCAACTAGAATCATTTGACTTGACTTATCATCAAGTTTTCTTCTGAACTGATCTGGAACATGTCTATGTGCAATAGATCCAAATACCTTCAGATGACTAAAGCTAGGCTTTACACCAGACCAACATTCTTCTGGAGTAATTCTTTCTAGCTTCTTTGTAGGACATCTGTTCAAAATGTATGTTGCAGTCGAAACAGCTTCACCCCAAAACTCTTTAGGTAAATTCTTGCCTTTCAACATATTTCTCACCATATTCATGATGGTTCGATTTTTCCTTTATGCAATTCCATTTTGTTGTGGAGTATAGGGTGGCACCACCTCATGCATAATCCCTTCCTTTTCACATAATCTATCGAAGTCTTTCGACACATATTCTCCACCACCATCAGTTCTCAAAACTTTGAGCTTTCGACCACTTTGTCTTTCGACCATAGACTTAAACTTGGTAAATACTTTGATCACTTCACTTTTCTTCTTGATCAGGTAAGTCCATAGATTTCGACTGAAATCATCTATGAATGTAACAAAGTATTTATTACCTCCCATAGAATCCACCCGGATTGGTCCACATACATCAGAGTATATGACTTCAAGACTAGCCTTCAATCTGCTTCCTGCATCCTTGCTGAAGCTATTCTTGTGTTGCTTCGCCTGCACACATTCCTCACATACCTCATTTGGAATGTCAATTTATGGCAATCCTAAAACCATATTTCTTCTCTTCAAATCTCTGATGTCTCTGAAGTTGAGATGGCCTAGTCTATAATGCCATATTCATTCATCTCTGCTAGCTGCAGTCGAAAGGCACTTGTGCTCCATCACATTTAGTTCAATCTTAAAGGTTCGATTCTGAGACATAGGAGCCTTCAAGATTAATTTCCCATTTGCATCAACGACTCTCATCATCTTATCTTCGATTGACACTTTATAATTCTTTTCGACCAACTGCCCTATATTGAGCAAATTGCTCTTCATGCCTGGTATGTACAACACATTGGAGATTACTGACCTTTTGCCATCTTTCCTCATAATCATAACATCACCAATACCTCCAGCTTCTAGGGTATTGTCATTTACAAAATTTACCATATTTTTCATTGAGGGCTTTATATTGACGAACCAGTCTTTCCTTCCATACATATGTGATGAACATCCTGAATCCAAGTATCATTGGTCCTTGAATCTATCTTCATATCTTGTTGTGACCATTAGCATCATCTTTTCTTCTTCTTCATGTTTTGCAAGCTTTGCATCACTTTCTTGATTCTTTCGTTTTTCTGGACAATCACTCGCATAGTGTTCATACTTCTGACAATTGTAACATTGAATGTGACTCTTATCAGGTTTTCGACCACCACATCTTCCTCTATTTGCAACACCACCTCTTTGGTTGCCTTGGTATGGTCTTCTTTGATTCGACATGTTTCCTTCAATCTGATTTCCTCTACCATTCGATTTGTTGTAGCCACCTCTACCTCTGTCGAAACACTTTCCTTTGCCTTTGGTCTCTTTTGCTGAATGTGCCTGCAAGGCCACATCACTCTTCGATTTTCCTGCAGCTCTTTCATTCATTCTTTGTTCATGAGATTCAAGCGTCCCTTGAAGCTCTTCCTTTGTCAAATTTGACAAGTCTTTCCCCTCTTCTATCGCCACCACTATGTGGTCAAACTTAGGAGCTAAAGATCTCAAGATCTTCGACACAACAACTCTTGTTGTTAACGTTTCTCCACATATCTTGATTTGATTTACTAGTTTTGTAACTCTAGTGAAGAAATCAGATATGCTTTCACTGTCTTCCATCTGAAGCAGTTCATAGGTCCTTTTGTGAGTTTGTAACCTCACTTCTTTCACTTTCTCAGCGCCTCCAAAAGACTTCTCAAGGATTTCCCAAGCTTCTTTTGCAGATTCTAAATCACTAACCTTTTCGAAATTGTCTGGGCTGACACATTGATGAATTATAAATAATGCTTTATAACTCAGCTTCTCAGATTCTATGTATTTCTTCTTTTCTTCTTCTGAAGCGTTTTCTCCAAGCACTTCGACTCCATCTTTTACAAGGTCCCAAAGACCTTGACACTTGAATAAGACTTTCATCTGTTTGCACCAATTCTCATAGTTGTCAACTTTCAGAATTGATAGGGTTGCTGGATAATTTGCATTCCCATAACTTGTCATCATGAATTCTTCAATCGTTCTTGATTGACACTTCCATCGAATCGAAACAAAGCTCTTGATACCAGATGTTGAAAATCCACCAAAGTCTGATAAATTTCTACTACAATGACAATTTAATTATGAGACAAACAAAGAAAAGAAGACAAGACAAATAATTTCTGCAGAGTTTCTCTCTGCTCACAAACTGTGAAAACTTTATTATTCACTTTGCAACTGCAAAATACTGTGAATGACTTGCTTGACTTGCTTACAAAAATAGGGATTACTCCCTCTATTTATAACTGAGCTTACACCCTAAGTCCAAAACCCAAAATACATTTTTGTTACTAAATCAAATCTAATTTATTCTAGACTTAAATCAAATCTATTTAAATCTAAAACAAATCAAATCTTTTCGACACATAATTTCGACACATTGGATTACAATTTAACAAATAGTACTAATAAAAATGTGTGCTTTATGTTTTTAAGAAAAGGATCTCACTTGGTGCAATGATAATTTCATTAATTATTTGGCACTAAAAGAAATAGATAATATTAGACAAAACTTGGTCGTTTCATGTTGGATAGATTCAAACAGAACTTATGTAGTACATACATAAACAATAGTATCAATATAAGAAAGTCTATTCTTGCTGGATATTCTATGCACGTACTACATTTAGATACTACTGGAAAATATGTTTACACTGTCAATATTTAAAGTCAAAAAGGTTTTCACAATAATCAGTCTTCAAACCATGCATCATATAGATCCTGAGATATTTGTCTGGTGTTTAACAGCTGATGCAGTTGGTAGTGTTTAACAGCTGATGCAGTTGGAGTTTAGTTCGGAGGATTAAGACAATTATCAAAAGCAAAGTAGATACATACTTTCAGAATCGATTTCAACAGAAAGAAAAACAATATCAGCAATACAATACAAATAGTTAAGCATAAGATTTAGCGGGGTAAAATTTACCTTAATTTCCCTCTGAGACTGGTATTTGACTGTAGCATCATGCTTCGCACGGTAGCACCATATATATTAGATGTTTTAAATCATCTATGGAGTTGAAAATTGTCATCTTTTACACCATTGTAAGGAAGACCAAGAAAATCAATATTAGTGAATTCACAACTCTTCTCATGGACAAAACATATGGCTTAAAGTTCATTTGGCCAGTTCATAGTTAGAAGATCACGCAGAGGTTTAATACACCCTTGATTTACCAAGATCCTGTCAACAAAGGAAAAATAATTTTTTGATATCTTGAAACAAATATGTTGTAAAACCAATAAAAATACCGAGGAACGTTGCAAAGATGAGGATCTACCCATAATTGAGTTGTTCAGGAGATCCATCCGATGTAGCATTAAAGATGGCCCATGCAACTTCTTTCTTGATATCAAACTCAACATTTTGAAACAAGGCAACCAAAGGAGGAATTATATTGGCATCAATTACGACCCGCGAATTTTCAAAAATAGTGATAAATATAAATCAAGTCCTCCAAATGCAAAGGAGGAGATGGTGGTAAATATTGATGAGGCAAAACATAATGATTAAATTGGTGTAATAGGCCTATGAGTGCATATTAAGTCAAATCAGCTCTGCTTGTTAATCTCTTACTACTTTTTCCTTTTCCGAAATTTCTTGCTTGTTAATAATCAGTTTTTCCTCTTGTACAGGAGGTTTCCTACATGAATTTGACTTTAATTTCATAATTAAAACTACCAGTTCCCATGTGTATATTACTATTTCCTTTAGTGCAGAACCACTATGTGACTATTGTATGTAAAAGAACAAAGATCAATGAGAAATTCTTGAACATAATACTTGTGTCTTCATGTCATCTACAGTGATAATATTTCCAACTGGTCAACGATTCCAGCCATTCATTCACGTGCATGTGAATTTGGCTCCATGGTTTTTTTATATTTGGTTGTTATAGTTGGCGTGATTCTCTATAATTGTTGCGGTTGATGAGTGTGGAAGAAATTTTCTCTTGATCAATGTTGTTGTAACTATGAAAGAAAAGAAAATATAAAACCTTGAACATAGTTTTTCAAAGTAGAATTTCATGTGAATGATAGCTCAGTTCTGCCTTCTTATCAACAACTGTAAAACAGAAATATCAAATGAATCATATATGTTTTAGTTGGTGAAATAAGTTTAAAATTATTTTCAAGTGAGATATATCTTTTAAATTTTTTGATTAATTGTTAGTTATCAAAGCCATTTTTTCTGAATCATAAGGGCACTAAACAAGAAATTAATTTAATAATTCCAACACAATAGATCTATATTCAAAAAAAGTACTATTGTGATTACTACTAAAACACAGTAAGAAATTGAGATCTCATTAAATTAAAATCTCATAATTTTGGAAAAAGAATCATAGCTAACAATTATTTTATGTCATGTGTGAAGACTATATAAATTAAGGTTCTAATAAATTAATTAGGCTTGCTTTTTTTTTTGCTTCAACCTGCATGATGACAATAAAACTCAATTAAGCACTATCATAATAGATTTGTAAAGCTTCTCGCAAAACGATGTTACAACTCAAGTATCTGTAAGCACTTGATTAGGAATCACATGGAAAGTACATATCTTCAAGGAGTATTCTGATGTAGTTGTTAGGTTACAGAAACAGATGTTTCTAGGCGCATATTTTCCAATATAATATTACTCTTGGAATAGCTATCACAGCGGATCAGCCCGAACATGTCATACTAAATCTCATCAACATATTTATAGCTCAATTGTATCTTTCAAGAAAACCAAAACTCTGAAAACTAACAAATACTATCGGTGAAAATCTAAACTGAAGTTGCATCATAACCCAACATATGGATATGAATCTTCTAGTAAAATAACAACAAACACGCACTTTCGTCGATGTTTGCAGATGAAAGACAGTGTTTGTGTCAATAGATCGTCTAGCGAGTATGGTAATGTCGGCGAGGCTCTTTAGAAAACCATAGCAATTAAATACATTATTCACAAAGTTATAGTCAATGTTAACTCTCTCTCTCCTTCCAATAAAAGACATTAGTTTTAGTAAAAACAATTTAAGCTTCAGGATTTTTGTTCCTTGGAAATTTTATATTTAATTGTTCTCTTTGATTTATCTGTCTATCTGAAAGTTGATCCACTTGTTTCAGGAAAGCCAATTCACTTTCTCGTGCATCATAACTAAATATAATATTTAAATCATAAATGGTAAAAAGAAAATACGGTTATGGAATGTGATAACTCGAGGAAAAAAACTATGATCACGTACATTTTTTTTTTGTTCATCAAATTCAGCACGGACTTCATGCACATGTACATACACTTTTCAAATCATAATTAATGATTTTTTTCCACCAAGGATAAGCATATCTGCCAATGTTCAGGACATCAAAATTTAGCAAAGATTTACATTATATTTCCTTTCAAACTCCAAGAATGAAAGTTATAGAATAGGTAACTCACCTCATCCTTGTCAATTCTTCTACCTCGTCACTATTACAACCTTGAGTACAACCAAAAAATGCAACCTTAGGTGAAGTACCAGAAATGGACCATTCTGTTTCAAAAAATTGATTGCCTTTCTGCCTAACTCCTCAATCTGAGGAGTAAATCTAAGAGCACTAAAATTGACCCGGCAACGTAGCTTCTGAATATCTATCAAGTTCATGGATAATCAAAGATGAGACACAATATATATGGAAAATCAACAATGTCTTTGGCATTCAAACAAAATCTTAAAGATGGGCTTTTTAGTAATAAAACATGATGGAAGCTTAAAGGTTCTTGTTATTTAACACATACCAAGAAAACTTCAACACATATCATGAAAAAAAGTGTTATCGAAGTTCACGAATTTCAACTAACAGTATCCATGGGCAACTATCGGTGCTACTCGATTAATCAACTCGCAAATCAATGGAGCGATTTCAAGTGGAATATCTGACATTTTAGAAAATGTGAACTCATTGTTGAAGCTCGCTTATGGAGATACATTGTCCTTGGAAAATACCTGTATAATATGAAAAAACTATAAGCAGTATAGTATGATGAATTCTATATATATAACTGAAATAGAATACTGCATTGTTTCATTCAACAAATATTCTCCATAGACTATCGGTATTGGGCCATGGTTTTTCTTGTAGAACAAATCTGCTGGAGTCAAATAGGCTGAAATCAAGGCATAACTTTGTGGCTCAACATTGAAAGGTTCCTGAGAAGCAACATAAAATAAAATGTATATATTCAATGTTAGAACAAATTTGTCAACATAAAAAAAATGAAATAATGAAAATCCCAAAACTTTACCAAACAACATATCTTGATGTCAACTGATCAAAGCAACAAACCTTGATATATTGACAGAAAAATAAGACTCCAAATATCATTCACTCTCAAGAGATCTTTTCTGTTCTGGTCGCCGCTACAATCATCGACGAAATCATTCACCGTCAAGACCAGAAACTATCAAAACCATAAGTAAAACAAAATAATCACTTTTCCCAAACCGTAAAGTGGATTCAAATAACGAAAACAAAAACGCAAAAGAAAACGAAAATGAAAGTTGATGCAAACAGATTCGAAAGGTGGTGACTTTACCATAATTAGTGAACAAATCCTTAAAATACCGAATGGATTTGCTAGGGTTTGATGGAAAAAGAGAAAGAGATAGAGAGAAAGCGGAAGAACGGTGGACATAAATATAAAGAGAAACCGGGAAGGAGAGAGGAAGAAAGAAGAGAGGGAGACTATGACAGGAGAAAGAGAAAGAAAAAAGGAGATGGAAGAGGAAAAGAAAGAGGAAATTTGAATGGTTTCTTCCAACCACTTGATGATATTTTGAAGAAGAATAGAGTGAATGGGAAAGGTTATGGTTGATTTGTTCAAGAACAATGATTTACCGCTGTCTTTTGAGTTTTCAAGTACAATATAAATTTATGGAATGATTATATTAAGTTAATTATAGAATTAAAAAAGAATAAAATTCAACAATATGTAATGTGTTGACACATTAGCACCATTAAAAATAATATAGTGACAGAGTAGATCAAAAAAATTAATGTGTCCTTAATGATTAGTTTAAAAATTAATTTTAATTAGAGGATATATATTAAATTTCCAAATACTTTAAAGTTTATATATTAATAATAGATAATAAAAATAAATTTATGAAGTCTAATAGTTATTATCACAATCACAATTATAAACTAATATTTCATTTTCAAGTTCTTTGAAAAATTTATTAATTATTTAATAATTTTAAAAAGATATTTTCTTATAATAATATTCATTATTGTGATTTGAGACATTCATTTTTTAATCAAATATCACATATTTTTAAAATGGAAAATGTTAACGAGTGTCTCACAGATAGTCTTTAAGTGTTTAAAATACACACATTCAATGTATAGGAAATTGAAATACTTCCTCTGTCTCATATTATTTATCTCATTTGATCATTTCACACAAATTAAAAAACAATAATAAATGAAAGAGAAAGAATTGTGAATTTACCAAACTATCTTGATTAACTACTGGTGTATTTAAATTAGAATTAATGTTAAGTGAGAAGACAATAAATTAAGAGTATTTATTAAAGGGTGCAATTAGAAGATTAAATTTAAAATTGTATTGGTAGTCTAAAGTGACAAGTATTTTGGAATAAATTTTTTTAATAAATGTGACACTTATTTTGGAACGGAGGGAGTAATTAATTTTATAAAAAATATTATTTTTTATTTAATATCTTTAAAGAGTGTTCTGGATCACTCATTAACCTGACCCTTTTAAAATTTAAATGTTTTGAAAATTGAAAAATTAACATGCTAACTTATCTATTCAAATTTGTTGGAATTTGAGAGTGTTGTACATAGACAATGGAGGAGTGATGATATTCATCTTAATGTGGAATCAAAAGAGTTTTGATAACTCTATTGTTTTAGACCGGGAAAATGACTCAACATTGGTCGATTTAATATAAAGTTCAATAGATAGCTCTGTCCATCAGATTGATGAACACTTGTACTTCTATTAGGACAAGTGGTCAGGTTTTGTTAACTTCTCCAACCACCACACCACCCCATATCTCGATCTCTATGTCGTTTGGACAGCTAACTTGTCAAGTTCTATCGTCGTTCCAACCAACTGCTTCAACAAATACTACAAGGCCAAACGTCGAAACAACCTAGTGCACCAACAAAATATGCATCTTCTTAATGATAGAATTCTATGTATAGGGAAAAGGAGAAAAAAGTCTCATCCTCATTGTAAACACACCAATAAATACATATGCATTCAATATTGTCGTATGAGTTTATCCAAAAATTGAAATCTGAAATCCTATAGGGTATATCCGAGGGTATTTAACATGGCACGCTCTAAGTTATATTTGGCACCCCACCCCCAATATTTCATAATGACAAAAATGTCCTTACTATTATTTACTAAAAAAATTACAATCCGTAAAAAAATCACTATCGACATGCAGTACAAACAAAATGTTTGGTGTCCAATTTGAAATTTTTTGTATCGCAATTCAAGTTCTCACCGAAAATTATGTGTAAATTACAAAATTTTCAGAGACGATATATCGAAAATTTTGAAAATTCTAGTGTTGTTTTAAAAAATCAAACAAATATACCAGAAATTTTCCAAATTTTCAATTAGTAACAAAATCTTTTGGAAATTTTGTTTATATTTGAAATTTCTGATAGTTTTGTTGAAAAATGTTTTACTTGTGTCGGTCAGAACCGACAACTACTTCTATGGATTCCTGTATAAATTTTACGGAGTTCTTCACCACTGATGATGTATGTTTTCTATGTAACAAATGTAATTTTAATGATTTTCCCATATCTATGATAGTGATAGTTTACTCTTTATATATTGTAATTGACAGATATTTAAGTTCTGATCTGAAGTTTTAGCATGGGCACATGCTACTGGTAAACGACATGGTATTATTGTTGTCATTGTTCATTCTGATTTTGCTAATAGAAGGCCAAGAAGAAAAGATAAATTGATTATGAGTTGTGGGAGAGGAGGAAATTACAAAAGAAAGAATGCATCTGAAAATAATAATTCCTCATAAGGCATTTATAATATGAAAGTTAAATGTCCTTTTAGGCTAAGATATGTTCCAAGTGGTATCGGTTAGAAGGTGATTGTTAGGTGCGAGGAGATTTATGCCGAAGTTGGGATGCAGTGAACAACATGTTGAAGTTGCATCTACATTCAATCAGAGTGTCATTTAAAAAAAGTATTGTCAACATTGAGCATAAGTATAACACTCTATTTTATGCCAACGTGTACAATTTTGTCTTAAGACAATGTAAGCAGTTCATTGGAAAGGAACTTGATCTTATCGGATCATAAATGGACCGTCACAGCTAGTTCGGGCAAAAGTTGAATGGAATGGAGGGGGTACTTGAAGACACTCTGATGAAAAAGTAAGTTGTGGAATGAGCAAACAAGTATGAGTTCAGAGAGATGTTTAATTGAGTACTTGACCCTCTTAGGAGAGATGGTATTTATAGCCCCCAGCGATGGGCTAAGGTTCCCATTATTGAGCCACTTTGAGGAAGACGAAGTTAGGAAGTCATCCTAGTTTATTTGATATTCTTATATGTATGACTGTTATTATATGTATATATTTAGTCTGGTAGCATTTTTATGAATTCAGTTATTCAAGAAAAAGTAATGGAAAAAGTGGGAAAAAACTTACTGATGTTATACCGGAAATTTCATATTTCTAAATTTTTTTTAGTAAATATCAAAAATTTCAAAATTTTCGATAATTTATATCTTTTGACCAGACATTTGAAATTTCAAGTGAACTTTCATTTATTACGGTAAAAAAATATAAATTTTTGAAAATTTTCTATATTAATTTGTACTTTTCAAAATTTTCAATATTTACACGAGGGTATTATCATAGAAGCACAACAAAAAATGGGGTGCTAGATACAACTTTGTGAGTGATAAGTTAAAATTTCTATATCCGAATATTGAAATTCAGGCATACTTTTGACAAAAATAGGAGTGTCTCTCTAATGCTTGAAAATCTAACAACAACAACAATAGAAGCCACTTTTCATATTTAAGTTGTCATCTCCTTCTTTTAGATATTTGCTTGCCATAGAATATACAATCACATAATACAATCATAAGTTGTCATGTCCTTCTTTTAGATATTTGCTTACCATAGAATATACAATCACATATTGTTGAGTAATTGAGAGTTTAAGATATGAAGAAGATACTGAAGAAGATAATTGAGAGTGAGAATCATTAATTTAAAATGAAAATGTATCCAAAATATTTATAAAACTGTTACAAAATAATTGAGACCTAAAACACATCATTAAACTACAAAAAAAAAGTTAAAAATCAAACTCGTAACCGATTAACACAAATAGTTCACGTATTACACAAATACAAAACAGAAAAATACAATATCAAATATAGCTGGTTAACACATTTGATTAACCGATTAACACGGTTTGAAATTAACTTTTTCAACCTACAAAACTATTTTTTCCATCAAATCTAATCAATTACACTCCGTGTTAATCGATTACCTTACTTGAGTTATTGCTTTTCACCCAACAGTTTAAAGGAGAACAAAGAGGAATGAAAATTATTTTAAATTTGAGTGATTTGGTTAAAAAAATTGGAGTGGGGTGGTAAAGCTTGAAACAAATCATTAGCTTTTAAAAAAAATTGAGGGATGTTTGTGATTTTAATTTTACTAAACTCATATTTAATATGAACTAAATATTATAAGATTAGAAAATTTATATATTCAGTAAAAAAATTTAATGATCCACTGTCCATATATACTAAGGAATAAAAAATTTGTCGGATAATAATTTTTTCGCAAAATTGTGAAAGATAGTCAATATTTATGTTGAGGTATTTTTGCCATTGCCCGAATTTGTAGGAGTATTTAAATCTTTTAGCATTTGAAATTCTCACAAAATGAACTAAATGATATAATACCTAAATACCCTTACAAATAAAACTAGTAAAAAAAATATTATTATAAGTCGTTTTAAAATTTTCACATATTAAAAACAAAAATTATTGTATAAAAATGAAAAATTATAAAGTTTTTACAAAACTATCATTTATTAATGACACGTGGAAGATAAATTTACATAATTGAAAAGAAAATAATAAACATTTAAGGATATAATAGAAAAATATATTCCGACAAATTAGTTAAATATAAGAGCATTATTGAACTGATGGTTAAATCGTTCAAAACTTTTAACAATGGCCGTCTCATGCATTAAATGTGCTGTGGTTCTTTTCTTGATTCTAAAACAGATGCTAAAAGCAATGAGAAATTTTATCTTTGCTGAACAAAACAGCTGATTACATGCACAAGAATGTAAAATTCCGCTTTAAAATTTTACAATCTACTAATGTAAAATGCTCACTAACATGCACAAGAAACCTGTGTTATGGTTTCATCCGAGGCAGCAGCAGAGTCGCAAAATCTGTTTTACCAAGGGCCAAGTTTCGGGCACCCTTGAGCAAGAGGAAGATCCAAGTTTTCCACGGTTCTGAAAGTTCTAGGTACCATCTTATCGACATATAGAGTTCCTTCCAAGTGATCACATTCATGTTGTAAAACCCGGGCCTGCCAACCAGAAGCAGTTATTTTGATTGGTTCGCCATTACGATCCAAACCTGTAACTTCAACGTCAAGGTAACGCTCGACCACAGCTCTAAATCCATCAACACTGCAAGATGTTGTAACAATTAAACATGTTAATGGCACCAATTAAGCATATGCAGATTGATTTTCTGATATTATCAAATCTACTTTGAATCTGTTGCAGCACATTGATGCTAACCAAGAGGTATCAGTAAGTTGAGAAAATTGTATGTGGATGAAACAATTAGCACTCTTTAGCCATTAAGTAAGCAATAATAATCACATAGCATATCAGCTTTGAAGTAGATGGTTAAATGGAGGTGTGTATGCATTATACATGCACTAGGAATTCATGCACTTCGAACAGAATAAGAGAAAATCATTAGATAGTGTTGAATACGTTGCTCGAGTGACTCTGTCTTCCCAATATGTCTTATTCTGTATTTCAAAGTAATTGAGAAAAGGTGCGATACGATATTGGTTTTGTACTGAACTTTAGAGTAAGTTTAACCGTTTGTCGAGAACTAGTCAATAGCAATTGTGAGTATTGTCAATCACGAATAACGGAAAATCGCAATTTTCTCACTTTGAACTATACTATAGTGCTAAATCACTATAGCAGAGCAGTTTGTTAAAACTATACAACAACAAAGTCTTATCCCACTAAGCGGGTTGGCTACATGGATCACTTCAGCCATAATGTTCTATCCAGGACCTTCTATCCAAATCATTAATCTCGAGATCTTTCTTAATAATTTCTCTTATGGTTTTTCTAGTTCTTCCTCTAACTCTAGCTGTTGAATCCACAAGTCTTAACTGATTATGAAACCGTTTCTATTTCACATCTCAATTGCTTAACTGTTTCGCAAGTGAATGAAAGGATAATAAATGAAAAAGACAAATATTGCCAAACCTCAAACACCCTTCAAAAAATAGGGCAGTCTTGTTGCTCTTATTCTTCAGCTTGGGGTTGAGGATCACCTGCAACAAGAGAACCAATGAAACACCTATTAAAGTAATGAACCTTTAAGACAAAAGTACATATTCACTGTCAATAATCTCCTTTTCTCAGCATGTATGAACATACCAAAAGATCAAAAGGTCTTCTATCTTGAGCTTTGGTCTCTTCCTTTGGTGCATAACTAATATATTCTTTAGTATCTTCCAAAACAATTATCTGCATACATGAAAAGACAAAGTTCAACTTTACTTTCAAATTATAGGAACCAAAAACTTTTCAAGTTGGAGTGAAAGTGAGTCCACCATGGTTTTAAATTGCACTTCGCAACCGCAAACCGCATCGGGCCGCAATTGAGATGTAGTTTTACAACTTTATGAAAAATCTTTACATTAATTATTTTTTAACGATGTATTTCAAATATCTCTCAACCAAAATGCACGCTGCAACGACCACAATGTGCACCGCAGCTGCCGCATTGACTCTAATCGCAACACCCGCAACCGCAATTTAAAACCAATGTTCCACAATTTCACTTTCAATTTTATGAGCAAGCAATCAAAAATTACTTTCATTCTACATTCTCATCCTTAACAAAACAAGTACACCCTTAATCTATAGAGTAGAGCCACAAAATTGAAAACCACAAAAAACATCAAAAACATAACTAACCCTAGAAGCAACTCCAATCTGAGGAGCAGCTAATCCAACACCAGGAGCTTTCCTCATGACCCTAATCATATCATCAATAATCTTCTGCACTTTCTCAGACTTAATCTCACTAGGATCAACTTCTTGAGCTGGCTCATGAAGAACAGGGTCACCAGCTTTAACAGTATCAGGCAAATTCATCTTCTTGTTGTTGTTGTCCTTTGTGAGACCCAAAAACCAACCAGCTCTTGTTCTGACAGTAGCGGTTTGAGAAGATGATAAGGTTAAACTGAATTGTGGGTTTGAAATTGATGATAATGGGGTTGGTGTTTGGTGCGTAAAGAGAGTTTTTTTGGTGATGGATAGTGGAAGCATGCACCGTAAGTGTAAGGCTTCCATGCCCTTCATTTTTGTTTCTTTCTTTCTCTTTTGGGAAATCTTCAACACGAATACGGAGTTTTGTGTTTATGGGTTGTGTTGTGTTTTTTTTCTTCTTACCTTAATTTCGTTTCTAACCATCAAGTGTTTGAAATGCAATTTTATTCTTCCTCTTTATAAAAATGTTGGACAATTGATAACCTCACCCTCCCTATGTCTTTGAAAAGTTACCTTTTTGACAATCGAAAATGTCTTTTAGATTTTCAAATGTTTTTCAGATTTCGAAAATACATCTTCAATATTGTTTAAGAGTTTAGAGTTTAAGGTTTAGAATTTAGAGTTTTTTAAATTTTAAACAAAACTAAATTGAATAACACTTCAATGTTGTTTAAAATTTATTAGAGATATATATTTATGTAACAATTCAATAAGCACTACATACATTGTCCAACAAAACGTCTTATGTTAAGAAGAATTGATTCGGAGATGCATCACATTGATAACATCAGATACATTTCAGAGATGCATTTCCGTAACTACACTAAATAATAATTTTCTGTTTTTGATTTAGAAAAGTTATGATGGATTTGACGATACATGACTTTTTTTTTGTATAATTTAAACCACACAATTTTAAAAAATAATATATATATATATATATATATATATATATATATATATATATATATATATATATATATATATATATATATATATATATATATATATATATATATATATATATATATATATATATATATATATATATATATATATATATATATGACACAATAAAGTAAAATCTAAAGTACAAAATATAACCTAATATAAAATAGTGTCAAAATAATACAAATTATAAACTACTGTGTATGACAGATTGAGGCCCCTCTGTTCCTACGCTGCCTCTTATACTGCAGTGTCTCTCACGTCTCCTCCATCATGGCATCTATAATGTCCCTTACTGCAAAGCCATTCGAAAGCAGCTCGCTATGTATATTTGCCTACTCAATCTCCATGATACAGCGACATCTAGACAGTACAATAATAACCTAGTCAACCGTAGTCTACTCCTCCTATAGCATCTCCTAATGAGCTGACCTAAGTGAATCTCCTGGTGTCTCAGGTACCATTTAAGGATGTGACACCCTGAAGAATCACTAGATATAGTTGTGTATAACACTTCAGTCACTAGGAACTATGGTACTTCGTGCCTCATACGGTACCATATAAAAAGTATAACCATGAAATATGGTATCCATATATCGATGTTTCATAGTCAGAGGAGCAAACTGTGAAGGGTCTTTGGGAATAAATCACATATAGTTGAATTGTCTCATAGCGCGCTCAGGTAGATGAAGATACACCAAACATAAATCACAAGCTAACCAACCGGAGTATAAGGCAACATCGTCCAATGAACGTGTCTCACGGTGATCTACATACGCGTTGAATCACATATCCTATACTAGAATGCAGTCAAAATACACTATGTATGAATGCGTCGCCTGGTTCCCTTAGAATGGGGCAAATGCCATATCACGTAGCATGTCCTAAGTGTAGGTTGAAAAATATGACCATCCAGATATATGTGGAAAACGCGTGAGAATCCAAGCCCGAAAATGGTAAGTTTAAGTAATTAGTAAGAGATGCAAAAATGAATGTATATTTTAAGTATTACAAAAATGAGACAAAGTCATCAAAACAGATATACCCAACTTATAGTACATGTATATCAAACAAGTGGTCTCCCAATTGTACTCATGGACTCGCTCCAAGTCATCGAAGTATTGCAGGTCTACCACATTGACATATGTGCCACTCTTGTCCAAGAAGATGGTTGTGCCAACCAAATACGACATGTATGCTCTAAGAGTGCATACTCTATGGTGTGAAACCTGCTCACCATCACTAGCTTCTTGCACTGCATTAAGTAGTTGTTGTTTATACACATTCTCCAAGTATCGGAACCTAGAATGAGCCCCTTAGGTGACTTCTAACTCCATCATGACTTCCTTTGGGCCAGCTCTCATACAGTCTACCAGCATCACCAATGCCTCATCTTTGTTGTTATTATCATGATATAAGAATCTCCCCCTGATCGGGAGATACAGCAGGCACAAGATATCGTCTAGTGTGATAGACATCTCACCATATGAGATATGAAATGATAATGTCTCTGAGTTCCATCTCTCTACAAATGCAAACAACATGCAATGGTTAAGAGTAGGATAATAGGTCCTGCTCAAATCTCTCAACCCAGATGCTTGTAACACATCCATAAACCACGACTCATTAGGCATATCCAGACTCGTAATCTTCCGACCATTATTTATAAATTGTAATGCATTTCGGTCCTGAAACAAAAATAAACCATTGTCAGACTGACCTTTTCAAAATAAGATGGAGAAGACATATTTTTCATGGTTTACCTCTCCGTCCCAGACATGTCTGGCCTATGGTCTGAGTATAGAGGCAACAATGATAAGTCGGACGTGCCTTCTCCAAACCTCTGTGGAGCCTTGGATGTCGGGGCCTCAAGTGCCTCGCGCATGGAGTTAAGTGTCTTATGTGCATCGGTAGGTGACACTTGTCTCCTACGGGATGACATAGTCGGAGATGCACGAGCCCTAGAAGTCGAAGCCCCCGCAACGACCAGGCTAGAAGCAACGATCGAGCTAGAACCAATAAGTGCCTAGGAGGCTTGGGATATTTTCCTCTGAATCAATGCATGTTGCTTGACTCTATCGTGTCTCGAACTATCTTGCCTATCAGCCATAATGCCTAAAACAAAAACACACAACCATTAGACAGGTGAAACATATCAGATCATGGAAAAAATTGAAGACAAAAGATTTCCTGAGATGCATCCCCGATCTTGGGAAATACATTGAAACTTTACAGAGACGCATCTAAAGTTTTGTAACTCAGAAGTCGTTCATGGCGGACATGAATTTGATCCAACACCAAAGCAATGCATTTTTTCAATAAGACAACATATCAAACACATTGTTAATATAAATGAACTATCTAAACTACCTATTACATAATCAAATGCTCAATTTCTACTTATGTCGATGGAAAATGAAAAAAAAATTAAAAAAATTAAAAACTTATCAAATGTGACTGGAGTTTGATGTTGAATGAGCTCTTTGATCGTTTTTATGTTGATGGAAGAAAATTAGAAATATCTTAAATAATTTTGAGTGAATGTGAGTTGAGAGGTTTTGAGAGATGAGAGTTGGAGAGTTTGAATGTTGGAGAGTTGAGAGTGTTATGAGAAGTGAGAAAGAGAAAGGATTATGGTGTCTTTTTGACATAATATCGTCTAAAGATATATCTTCATAAGTAAGAAATATATAATCTAAATGTTGAAAGTTTACTAAGATACATCTCCGTAAAAATAAATTTATACAACGTAGATCTGACTCTTGCCACTAAATCTAAAATATTGTGTTTTTAGTACGTCCCAAAATATATCTCAAATTTCTAAACTTTTTTCCATAAAATGTAGTAGCAATCCATATAATACCTTTAACCATTCCCAAAATAATATGGGTCTGCCAAGGCCAATTTAGATTTCCCTTGGGATAGCGATAAACATTGATATTAATATCTCGTCTCATTTTATTTTTCTAACGGGAACTAAGATCATGTAAATAGATAGCAAGAAATTGGTGATCATAATTAAAGAATTATTGATATTAATACTATCTCATTTCATATTACTCTTTTTAGATAAAAAATATTTTAAAATAGAGTTTAACGGAAGGTAAACAAAAAAAGTATTTTATGCTAAATTGAAGGATAATAGATATATCCTATATATTAACATGATTTCTGACATGTTCACTAAAAGTTATATATATGTTAACATTATTAAGTAAATTTAATAAATATCTATTAGTATTAACCATAATTTTATATGTGTACTTTATCAATACATACTATTAATCTCTTATTAGTAATAAAAATTAATCGTTTTATTATTAAAATTAACACACGTTACCTTTAAGATATGTGAAATTTAAATACAACTTAAAAATAATAAAGAGAAGGTAATATCTTATGAGACAAGTATCATTTCTACCCCCTCAGTAGTTTCATAAAACTCAAATTTGTCCTAATACTTTTTAAAATATCATCTCTCACATCTATGTGATTCGGCAAACTGAAATATTCCCTCACCCTCAATTTATCAACCCAAAAAAACTATTTTGTTTTATTCAAGTTATAAATGAATAATACTTCCTTTCTGCTACGCGGAGTTTACAACCATAACTATTTCCAGTGCTCGAATCAACCAACTTTACACGTCTATTAGACCTGTGCATCGAGTTTCTTATCACCCTATGAGGGATTTGCTACAAAATAAAAGGAATTTTCTTTCAATATATCACATTATATAACAAACATAATAACAAAAAACAAATTTTGGTCTCGTGGATCTACTTACAAATACATTTTCATTTGGTTTCTTGCCATCCTTTTTTCCCTTTTCCATGTACTATAGCTTAGGCGGTTTTCCATATCTACATCACTATCCTCATCCTCATAATTGCTCAACCATTAAATATAACTTAAACACTAACATTCTTAGACTACATTTAATAACCACACTATTTTATTTAGTTATATACGTATGTATCTGTCAGTGTCAGAAGAAATTGATATGTGTGAAGTCCCAGCACCACAACCGTGTTTCACTCTCGTAGCATAAATTTAACCCTTACATTTTTCTTTCACACTTGTGTTTCGTTTGTCAACATCATTTGGCTGTTCATTGGAGGGTCCAACAGATACTACACAAAATAGTTTGAGCAGATTTAATGCTCTTTACAAATTAACAACATCAATATTTAAACACAAAACAAACAAAAGAAACAATACTGCACTATCCAACTATCGTTTCATTCCTTCTGTTATGAAACTTATATCTTTCTTAACCAACACTTGATTTGTTCATCACACTGACAACAACCCTTTGAACATCAGGATCAAGCCTCTTTGATGGCTGATCACGAATACAAAAA